GCGGCTTATAGTCCGAAAAATACGGTACTCATCAGGAACACCTCAGACCAGAGTCATTTAGTTTTATCTCACTGAATATCTCAACCGATCAAGCTAACCCTCCTGCTGCCCTTGGGTCAAAATGACCAACAATGCTCAGAGTCTTGGGCCTCGTAAAATGGCACACCCTAAAAATAAATAACAAATCTTCAAACAAATACATTTTAAATAGTTTTTCATTTTACAATAAATTCTCTTAAGTGCCAGAAAAAGTGCGTACTTTACGAAAATTACCGTAAATGTTCAAAATTATTTCAGATCTTAAAATTCATTACAGGAAAATGCAGTACGTAAAGTACGTATCATGAACTAAAATATCTTTAATGTTTAAATAGTGGCGTAGCTTTAAAAACATCTAAATCAAAATAAGTTTAAATAAATGAATGTAAATACCATAAAAATTTCTGTCCTAAAATCAAAGCACATATTGAACAAATAACTGTTGAGTTGGAAATAGCTGCACATCTTGAATTAACATAAATACTGGAAAATGCTGTACATCCTTTACGTACAGAACCGTTAATGTTTACATATTGGTGTAGCTTGAAAATAAATACTTTAAATACCAGAAAAAGCCATTTGTCCTAAAGAATAACGTGCAGATTTTACAAAAATCATCACAGATGTTCAAAATAGTTGAACGTTTTAAAATAAATTACCGGAAAATGCACTACGTTCTTCAGGTAAAGTACATAATGTTTAAATATTGACGTAACTTGTAAAAATACTTAAAACGCAAGAAAAAGCAGTTTGTCTAAAAAATAAACTGCATACTTACTGTAAATGTTCAAAATAGTTGCACTTTTTAAAATAAACACCTTTTAAGAAGTGCTGTGTCCTAAAATCAAACTGCTTTAATGTAAAACAAATTACTGTAAATATTTGAAATACTTGCACATCCTAAATGAATTATCGTAAAGACCAGAAAAAGTGGCATATCCTTAAACAAAATAGTTGAAAAATTAATCTTAAAATGCAGAACTGTAAATACCAGAAATGGAAGCGTGTACTTTAAAACGTTCAAAAGAGCTGCACAATTTAAAACAAATTACCACAAATACTGAAAATAACGGCTAATTCTTTCCTTAAAATGCAAATCATTTTACAAAATCATAATGTTCAAAATAGTTGCACACAACAAAAACTGTCCATCTTACCAAGTTTTAAAACCTTATATCAGCCAAAAAGTCTTTTTGATCTTGTTTTCAGACTGATTTACTAAACAAGAACTGATTGTGTAAGAATAATCATCTTGTTTTCACAATGTGTAAGATTATTTATCTTTAGTCTGAAAATTTGACTCAAATAAAGTCAAAACTTTCAGCCAGTGGAGTAAGAAAAACTTTACTTGGTAAGATTCTTGAAATAAGAAAAAATTGAGTGAAATCAAGTATTTCAAGAATCTTACCAAGTAAAATTTTCTTACTATTTTCTTACTAGGATTTTGACCTGAACTCAGTCCACMGTTTGAGGAACCCTACCCTAAAATAAAGAAAGTAGTATTTATAAATTGTAATAAACATAATATTTCTGTTGATATGGACCCTGTGTTGGACCAGTGACCTGTCCAAGGTGAAAATAAACCATAAATGGTCCAGATCTATTTTAGTCACATGTTTGAGCACAGACGGTGTCTGACAGCTGTGACCTCTGACCTTTCCTCTGACAGGAGTACCTGGACCTGTCGGTGCCCTTCGAGCAGTACTCGCCCACCTGCCAGGACTCCAGCAGCACCTGCTCGTCAGGAGACGACTCGGTGTTCGCCCACGACCCGCCTCCCGACGAGCCCTGTCTGTCCAAACCGCTGACCTGCAACGGAGTGATCAGGACATAAAACTTGTTGTGGGGGGGCCGGGTCGGACCGCCGTCGCCAGGAGCTCGTCTTAAACTCGTCTCTGAGCAAACTTCTTCTCTCGGAGGTTCAGCGTTGGAGGATTGTTTTGAATTTGAACGAGGATCTTCCAGGAATGAAAGTTGTATTTTTGTACTCAGGCCAGTGTTTTGTTACAGACGTGTGTGTTTGGTGAAACCATTCCGTGCCTACTGGGAAAATCCTTCCTGAGTCCGGGTCTGAACGGGTCCAGGAGGAGCGAATAAAGGGCATTGATTGATGGCTAACCGGTTTGTGATGCAGCACCGGAGGACCTTCAGCTGTATCTCTCGTGGACCCGCTGAGATCCACAAAACGTGAGGGAGGTCCTCAAAGATCCGGTTAGTTTTTGCGTCAACGTATTCCTCAAGGTGCGACGCTTCAGGGCTTTTCAGTAATAAGAACACCGTCGTTTGGATGTTTTCTATATCCAGAAAGTGATTTATTGTAAATGTATCCATGCAAATATGTATCAGATTGCTGTGCACAGCAGGAAAAGACAAAAAAAAAAAACAAGATTTTATTTGGAAGACACTGTCATGAACATATAAACCTTAGAGCTGCAGAGAAGTTTAATTTTAATAATTAATGTGTAAATTTGTAAATGTATTTATAGGCTTAACACAGATGGTTCTTGAGTTTTAAATATTTAGTTAGATTTTAGTATTGTACATTTATTTCAGCTTTTTTGTAATTTATTTTACATCAGAACTGCAGT